ACTACTCCTCCATCTCCTGCTCCGATTACTCTTCTTACTAATACTCTTACCCCTTTATCTACTATTACTACCACTCCTGCTCCTCCTCCAACTCCCCCCACTACTACTAATACTACTCCAACTCCTACTACTACTATGACTCCAAATCTTTCTCCTATTATTATTCCTCCTTCTCTTCCTGCTGCTATTACTACTACTACTACTACTCCAAATCTTACTCTTAATACTAATACTGCTACTTCTACTTTTATCCCTCCTCCTTCTACTACTACTACTATTACTGATATTACTCTTACTCCTATTACTCCTCCTCCTCCTCCTTCTACTATTACTGCTACTCCAAATCTTACTCTTAATACTAATACTGCTACTTCTACTTTTATCCCTCCTCCTTCTACTACTACTACTATTACTGATATTACTCTTACTCCTATTACTCCTCCTCCTCCTCCTTCTACTACTACTGCTACTCCTACTTTCACCCTTCCTCTTCCTCCTTCTACTACTACCATAACTGCTACTACCTCCTCATCCTCCTCATCCTACAAACATAACAACACATAACATACATCTCACCTTTTTATGGAGTCCTTTTTTCCTTCGTGTGATCAATAACATATCGTCGAAGAGAATTACATACATTTCCTGGGGTTTGTTGTTGTCCATCAAGTGCAAAGATCCTTCAAGAATAATTTGTCGTCTTGGTGACACTATAAGTCGTTCGCAAGGTTGCTTCGATATGGCACCCTGTTGAAGATTTATTATTATTATTATTATTATTATTATCTTTATCATTATCATTATCATTATTATTATTATCATTATTATTGCTATTGTTATTATTATTATTATTATTATCATTATTATTATTATTATCATTATTATTATTTTATCATTATCTTTATTATCATAATTGTTAATATTATCATTATTATTATTATCATTATTTTATTTTGAATTCGATGTTTTGTATGCTTTGGTAGTTAGATTGCTAGATTGAATAATAAGTTTAAATTTCCTAAGTAGCATAGTTATCGTTATCAGTTGATAGTTGAATGGCTAGATTGAAAAATAAAAGGTTTAAATTCCCTAAGTAGTTAAGTTATCATTATCAGTTAGATTGATAGATTGTTAGGTCTAAAAACAAAATATAAATCCTCTAACTTTGTATATCTAATAATTGATTTATTCCTAGATCTTTATTCACTTTCACTATTAGATACATCGATAGGCATGACTAATAATAGTCAGATAACTCGATTGCTAGATTTCTATTTAATGATCTATTCATATGACTTGAATCGATACTTATATATTATATATGATACTGCTACATTTCATTGCCTTGTAGGGTTAGGAAGATTCCCAAAAGTCTTATAATAGAAAGACGAACAATGGATATTTTTCATTCGTTTATTTATATATTTATTCCTTAAGAAATAGAAAAAAAACATCTTCATTAATCCATAAAATGAAATGCGATTACCCGACACCCAAAAACAATAACTAACAACCTCCCCCCCAAAAAAGAAAAAAGATAAAAAAAGATAAAAAGGAATAAGAAATAAAAAGACAAAAGAAAAAGGAAAACCTGCTACTTCTTACCTTCAAGAACTCCGGGATGAACACCTTGGGGTCGAGTTCAGTGACCGGCGGCCACACGATGTTCCTCTGGATTTCCAACAATCGCTCGAAATTCTTGAGCCATTTCATTTTGTCGTCGAGTTCTCCTGTGGGGGGAGAGAGAGAGCGGGGAGTCTTGACGCCTCTTGCGGTCCTTCAGGAGGTGGGGGGGGGTCTGTCTAGATAGCTGTTGATTAGTCTTTTTGTCTGTTTGTTTGTCTTTGTCTCTGTCTCTCTCTCTCTCTGTCTCTCTCTCTTTCTTTCCATTTCTCTCTCTCTCATTTCCTGTCTTTGTCTATCTGTGCATATCTCTCTCTATCTATCTATCTATCTATAAACACACACACACACACACACACCAGATATATATATATATATATATATATATATATATATATATATATATATATATATATATATATATATATATATATCATAACTCTCTCTCTCTCTCCATCTATCTCTCTAGCTAGCTAACTAACTAAATCTCTATCTCTGTGTATTAATTCCTCTTTATTTTCCTGTCTCTTTGTCTTGCTGTCGATCTATTTAAGAAAACTAGTTATATATACATACAGAATAAGTAGATATAAACACCCACACAAAGGAATGTGTCTTATTTTGAATGAAGAGATTATCATTATCTATTATTTCTTACAGACGTGTCAGTGTGTGTGTGTGTGTGTGGCAAGCTCTTCCACCCCTATATCTATTCATATTTAAATGTTGATTGCACTTCTAACTATACCTGGACTCTTATCAGTATAATCAATAGATACAAAAAGAAGGAAAAAAACACACATCACACCTGAGCGCTGATAAGAGACGCATCCGCCACACAATGAAGGGCGTCGAGAGATAACACGAATCAAACGGAGGACCATCTCTTATCTCACGCCCGCCCGCCATTCAACACCTTCTCGACAGCGTAATAATGCGGTGGTGAGTTTAACGAATGACGTAGATTATGCAAACAATGCACAGGCATACGGGGAGAGAGATTTAGTCTTCTCAACCCCGGCGGAGTATACACACGCAGTATATCCAGGCTGGTTGTGAGGTTTGCGTGGGTTGGTGTTGGTATGTGTTGTGTTTTTCTCTTTTCTTTATTTCTTTTCTTTTTCTTTTTTCTCTCCTCTTTTTCTATCTGGTTCTCTCACTCTCTCTCTCTCTCTCTCTCTCTCTCTCTCTCTCTCTCTCTCTCTCTCTCTCTCTCTCTCTCTCTCTCTCTCTCTCTCTCTCTCTGTTTACTTTTTGATACAGATGACTAGACTTTCTTGGATTCGCTGTTTACATAAAAAATGCTCTCCCACAAAAAAAAAAACAAAAAAACTAAATAAAAAAAAAAAAAAAAAAGAAAAAAAAGAGGAATGGAGAGAAGAGAAGAGAGAGCAAGAGATGGATATTTATATAAAAAGAGATAACTAGACAGAGAAGGGGGATATAAAAAGAGATAGAAATAGACAGACAGATAAATAGAGATGTGGATAGACAGATAGAAAGACAGATAGATAGATAGAGAGAGGGAGGGTAGACAGATAGATAGATTAAACTGGGGTATATAGATAGAGAGAGGGGGATTGTTATATAGATACAGAGAGAGAGATGGAAAGGCAGACAGATAGATAGATCGATAAATAGATAGAGAGAGAGATGGAAATATAGATAGATATATAGATATAGATTGATGGATAGAGAGAGAGAGAGAGATGGAAATATAGATAGATATATAGATATAGATAGATGGATAGAGAGAGAGAGAGAGATCTTTTATTGTAATGCTGACATATAGTCTGACAGCACTCTAACCATAAATTGCTACCAGTTAAAAAGAGGAAATATGCTTAATAATCATCAAATAAAAAGTTTTTTTTTATTAGCACAGATCCTTCTCCCACTTTCTTTCTCATTACAACATTCGACATTTCCCTTTTATTTGTTTTAGTTTGAAGTTTCTGCTTAATTGAATTTTCGAGAACCGGAAAACTTAATTTAATTTTTAAGTGAAAGTTCTGTATCCAGTCTAATCGAGTGTTTGATATAGTCGTCGAAAACAAAATTCACTCAAATATCCAATATATTTCATACGATATTGTTTTATTGGCTCAGCTTCCGAGCAGATTTGAAAAATATACATTTTATATCTATTATTTGAATCAATCGTTGATTATTACTAGCTTTACCACTAAATCTTTTTGATAATTATTATGGTTATATTCATTATTATTAATATGAATATTATCATTATCATTATTATAATTACGATTATCATAATTATCATTACTCTCATTCTTTATGTTATTTATTGCACTATTACTATCAATGTTATTATTATTATTATCATCATTATTGTCACTGTCATTAATATCTATTATTATCATCATTATCATTATTATTATCATTATCATTATTATCACTATAGGTGCTATAATTCTCTTGATCATTATCATTATTATTTTCAGTGTTACTGTATGATTATGATAATGCAATTAACTATAATTATCATCATTACGATGATAATGCCGCTATCAACATTTTCCTTCTCTAAATCACCATTCTAAAAAGAAAACTTCCTTCCGTTTCGTGATCGCAGATGTCTGGTCGGGGGCCGTCGTGCGGGGCGTGCGGGGAGTCGTACACGAAGACGGAGAGGCGTCCTCGCGCCCTGCTCTGCGGCCACACCTTCTGCACCCTTTGCCTGGAGGAAGCCATCCGTGCTAAGTCGTGTAATTGCCCCAGCTGTAGCCAGCCTTTCATCGCCTTCGCGGCCTCGCAGCTTCCGACCGATTTCTCCGTCTTGCAGAAAATTACCTCGTCGTCTTCGAGTTTGAGCGCGTCCTATGACTCGCTCTCGAGGAAGTCGTCTTGGGATAAAACGGACAGAGACGAACCAGACGCGTTTCGCTCGGCGTTCTCGAGGTTGTCGTCGACCAAGTATGGGCAGTATAACAGGGACATCGCATCGGGGAATACGTCTTTCGGGAAAACTTCGGATAAGGAAGAGAACAGTATCCGTTCAGAGAAAACTCCAGATAAGGAAGAGAAGAGCATCCACTCCAACCGCTGGCCAAGGACACAGAGTCTGTTCTCGCGTCGACGGTACACCGACCACAAAGTCTACAGCGACGATAGTGAGCACGACTCCGATTCTTCAAGGAATAAAGAGAAAGATCTCAGCTCAGGCGTTAGTAAGTACAGAACGAATGCTTCTTCATATGATAAACCATTCTCAAGGACAAATCCACAAGCAGGGGGAAGTTTTGCTCTATCTAGAATTAGCGCACCACCGGCAAATTCCTCTTCGGATGCCACTCTTTCCACCCTGAAGAACCACGGAGACGAAGAGCATGAACAAGAGTCAAGTCCCGTGACGCCCG